TGTTCTTCTTTCTCAAAAGAGCAGCTGCTATTCGAGCTCGTTTATGGTTCCATATAAATTTTCGAAGTGTTTGTTCTATGTCTGTGAAATATGCCATTGGTACTTTAATAGGTATTGCATTGAATCTGTATATTGCTTTGGGTAGTATGGACATTTTGATAATGTTAATTCTTCCAATCCATGAACAAGGTATATGTTTCCATTTGTTTGTGTCTTCCTTGATTTCGTTCTTCAGGGCTGTGTAGTTTTCTGCATACAGGTTTTTTACCTCCTTGGTTAGGTTTATTCCCAGATATTTTATTTTTCTTTTTGCTATATCAAATGGGATTTTTCTCTTTATTTCTGCTTCTGCTGATTCACTGTTGGTATACAAAAATGCCTTTGATTTCTGGATATTGACTTTATAACCAGCTGTTTTGCCAAACTCATCAATTAGTTTGAGCAGTTTTTGGGTAGAGTCTATAGGATTTTCCATGTACACTATCATGTCATCTGCAAACAGTGACAGTTTTGCTTCCTCCTTTCCTATTTGGATGCCTTTTATTTCCTTTTCTTGCCTGATCGCTGTGGCTAAAACTTCCAATACTATATTGAATAGAAGTGGTGAAAGTGGACAACCTTGTCTTGTTCCTGATCTTAGTGGAAAAGCTTTTAGTTTTTTCCCATTGAGTATGATATTGGCTGTAGGTCTCTCATATATGGCCTTTATTATTTTGAGAAATGCTCCTTGTATTCCCACTTTGCTGAGTGTTTTTATCATAAATGGGTGTTGTACCTTATCGAAAGCTTTTTCTGCATCTATTGATATGATCATGTGATTTTTGTCTTTGCTTTTGTTTATATGATGTATTACATTTACTGATTTGCGAATATTGAACCATCCTTGCATTCCTGGGATGAATCCTACTTGATCATGGTGTATGATCTTTTTGATATGTTGTTGGATGCGATTTGCCAATATTTTGTTGAGGATTTTAGCATCTATGTTCATCAGCGATATTGGCCTGAAGTTTTCTTTCTTCGTTGTGTCTCTATCTGGTTTTGGAATTAAGATGATGCTGGCTTCATAAAAAGAATTTGGGAGTTTTCCATTCTTCTGAATTTTTTGAAATAGTCTGTGGAGAATAGGGGTTAGCTCTTCCTTAAATGCTTTGTAGAATTCTCCTGTGAAACCATCTGGTCCGGGGCTTTTGTGTGATGGGAGTTTTTTGATTACTGCTTCAATTTCTTTTACTGTTATTGGTGAATTTAGATTTTCTGCTTCTTTTTCACTGAATTTTGGAAGATTGTATTTTTCTAGAAATGTGTCCATTTCCCCTAGGTTTTCAAATTTCTTGGCATACAGTTCTTCATAGTAATTTCTTACAATCTCTTCTGTTTCTGTGGTATCAGTTGTAATCTCTCCTTTTTCATTTCTGATTGTGTTTATTTGTGTCCTCTCTCTTCTTTTCTTGATGAGCCTACTTAAAGGCTTGTCTATTTTGTTTATCTTCTCAAAGAACCAACTCCTGGATTCATTGATCCTTAAAATTGTGCTTTTAGTTTCTATGTCATTTAATTCTGCTCTAATCTTGGTTATTTCCTTCCTTCTGCTTGCTCTAGGCTGTCTTTGTTGTTGTTCCTCAAGTTCTTGCAGGCGTAGGGTTAGGTTGTTTGTAGTTATTTTTCATGTACAGTTTTTTGTCTATTTCTCCCATCCCAGCCCCCTTCACCCTGTGTTCCCCACCTCCCTCCCATTTCCACCCCCCATAGTTCTTGTCCCCGTGTCCTTCCTATTTGTTCCTCCAAATTCCCCCCCTTTTTCCCTTTAAATTCCCTTCCCTCTCCCCTCTGGTCACTGTCCCCGTTCTCTATTTCAGTGTCTTTGTTTTTATTCTGCTTGCTTGTTTGTTTTGCTGTTTAGCTTCCTGTTAAAGCCGAGATCATATGGTATTTGTCTTTCAACACCTGACCTATTTCACTCAGCATAATGCTTTCCAGTTCCATCCATGTTGTTGCAAAGGGTAGTAGCTCCTTCATTCTCTCTGCTGTATAGAATTCCATTGTGTATATGTACCACAATTTTTTGATCCATTCCTTTACTGATGGGCACCTTGGTTGCTTCCAACTCTTGGCTATTGTAAATTGTACTGCTATGAAAATTGTGGTGCATAGGTTCTTGGAAATTGATGTTTTAGGATTCTTAGGATATAATCCCAGCAGTGGAATTGCTGGGTCAAAGCTAGCTCAATTTTTATTTTTCTGAGAAAATTTTGTACTGTTTTCCATAATGGTTGTACCACTATGCTATCCCACCAACAGTGAACTAAGGACCCCTTTTCCCCACAACCTTTCCAACATTTGTTGTTTGTTGCTTTGTTTATGATAGCCATCCTGACTGGTGTAAAGTGGTATCTCACTGTGTTTTTAATTTGCATCTCTCTGATAGCTAATGATATTGAGCATCTCTTCATGTGTCTCTGGATATTCTGTATGTCCTCCTTGGAGAAGTGTCTGTTCAAGTTCTTTTCTCATTTTTTAATTGGGTTGGGTGTCTTCTTAGAGTGGAGTCCTGTAAGTTCTTTGTATATTTTGGAGATTAAACCTTTGTCTGAGTATCATTGGCAAATATGTTTTCCCATACAGTAGGTTATCTTTTTAATTTAATACTGTTTTCTTTAGCCACACAGAAACTTTTTATTTTGATGAGATTCCATTTGTTTCTTATTTCCTTTATATTCCTTGCTCTAGGGGACATATCAGTAAAAATGTTGCTGCGTGAAATATCTGAGATTTTCTTGCCAATGTTCTCCTCTAGGACTTTAATGGTGTCACAGCTTATATTTAAGTCTTTTATCCACCTCGAATTTATTTTGGTGTTGGTGTAAGTTGGTGCTCAAGTTTCATTTTTTTTTGCATGTAGCTGTCCAGTTCTCCCAACACCATTTGTTGAAGAGGCTATCTTAACTCCATTTTATGTTACTGCCCCCCTTTGTCGAATATTAATTGACTGTAGAGAGTTGGGTTGATTTCTTGGCTCTCTGTTCTGTTCCATTGGTCTATGTACCTGTTTTTATGCCAGTACCAAGCTGTTTTGATTACAATGGCCTTGTAATACAGTTTGATATCAGGTATTGTGATCCCACCTACTTTGTTCTTCTTTCTCAGAAGTGCAGTTGTTATTCGGGGTCATTTATGGTTCCATATAAATTTTTGAAGTGTTGGTTCTATGTCTGTGAAATATGCCATTGGTACTTTAATAGGTATTGCATTGAATCTGTAAATTGCTTTGGGTAGTATGGACATTTTGATGATGTTAATTCTTCCAGTTCATGAACAAGGTATATGTTTCCATTTGTTTGTGTCTTCCTTGATTTCTTTCTTCAGTACTGTGTAGTTTTCTGCATACAGGTCTTTTACCTCCTGAGTTAGGTTTATTCCCAGATATTTTATTTTTTCTTTTTGCTTTATCGAATGGGATTTTTTTCCTTGATTTCTGCTTCTGCTGTTTCATTGTTGGTATACAAAAATGCCTTTGATTTCCGGATATTGACTTTGTAACCCGCTGTTTTGCCAAATTCATTAATTAGTTCAAGCAGTTTTTAGGTAGAGTCTATAGGATTTTCCATGTACACTATTATGTCATCAGCAAACAATGACAGTTTTGCTTCCTCCTTTCCTATTTGGATGCCTTTTATTTCCTTTTCTTGCCTGATCACTGTGGCTAAAACTTCAAATACTATATTGAATAGAAGTGGTGAAAGTGGACATCCTTGTCTTGTTCCTGATCTTAGTGAAAAAGCTTTTAGTTTTTACCCATTGAGTATGATGTTGGCTGTAGGTCTTTCATATATGGCCTTTATTATATGGAGGAATGCTCCCTCTATTCCCACTTTGCTGAGTGTTTTTATCATAAATGGGTGTTGTACCTTATCAAAAGCTTTTTCCACGTCTATTGATATTATCATGTGGTTTTTGTCTTTGCTTATGTTTATGCAATGTATTACATTTATTGACTTGTGAATATTGAACCATCCTTGCATCCCTAGGATGAATCCCACTTGGTCATGGTGTATGATCTTTTTGATATATTTTTGGATGCGATTTGCCAATATTTTGTTGAGGATTTTAGCGTCTATGTTCATCAGCAATATTGGCCTGAAGTTCTCTTTCTTTGCTGTGTCTCTATCTGGTTTTGGAGTTAGGTTGATGCTGGCTTCATAAAAAGAATTTGGGAGTCACCATGCATACTTGCACCACCCATCCCCACCTCCCACCCTCGAATCTACCCCCTTTGGCTTTGTCCATATGTCCTTTATACATGTTCTTTGAAAGCTCTTCCCCTACTTTCCTTTATTATCCTTCTCCCTTCCCCACTGGTTACTATCAGTTTCTTCTTTACTTTAATGTCTCTGGCTATACCTGCCAGAGGTTCACTTCTGCCATTAGTTCACTTAGTGTAATGTTCTCCAGTTCTATCCATGCTGTTGCAAAGGGTAGGAGCTTTTTCTTTCTTTCTGCTGCATTGTATTCCTTTGTGTAAATGTACCACCATTTTTTGATCCACTCATTTACTGATGGGCACTTAGTCTGCTCCCAGCGATTGGCTATTATGAATTGTGCTGCTATGAACATTGGGGTGCATAGGTTCTTTTGAATTAGTGGTTCAGGATTCTTAGGGTATAATCCCAGCATTGGGATCACTAGATCAAAAGGCAATTTCACTTTTAGTTTTCTGAGGAAATTCCATACTGTTTTCCACAGTGGCTTCACCAGTCTGCACTCCCACCAACAGTGCACTAGGGTTTTCTTTTCCCCATAAGGTTGTTTGTTGATTTGTTTATAATGACCATTCTGACCAGTGTGAAGTGGTGTCTCATTGTGGTTTTAATTTTCACCTCTCTGATGGCTAGTGATGCTGAGCATCCTTTTATATGTCTCTGAGCTCTTTATATGTCCTCCTTAGAGAAGTGTCTATGTTCAAGTCCTTTGCCTATCTTTTGATTGGGTTGTCTGTCTCTAAAAATATGTAACTCTTCATGAATTTGTATGTCATCCTTGCACAGAGGCCATACTAATTTTCCCTGTATTATTTCAATTTTAGTGTATGTGCTGCCAAAGCTAGCACCACATTTATATTTTTACTAGGATGCCATGTCCTCTTCCAACCACGTTGTCTGATAAGGTCCAGGCATGGAGGATTTGAGTTCAAAGAATTCGTCTCCCCAGAAGAGAACGTGGCATCCAAAAATAGGTTAACAATTGGCTGTTTTATTCCAATTATTTTACTCTTGCTACTGAATACAGACATTGAACTGTGCTTACTTATTCCTGTGAAAATCACCCAAGAGGAAGGGACAGTTCAGAGGAAAACATTAGTATTCCCCACAGAACTGCCTGAAAGGATGGAAATATCCCCACAGATTCCCCTCTCCCTTATACAGGGGAGTACGACAGCCAGGGTAATATAATTATTAACCATAAAGGAAAACATGTCAAGTTGTATAAATTACCCTGGTTTGAGCAACTTAAAGAGATCAGGACGACCATAGTGTACCAGAAATGAGAAAAAACAAGTTACATGTTTGATTTTGATCATCAAAAGGTGGTAGAATTGTTAGACACTTATATTTCAGGTTCATTGATTCGCACAATTCCAATGAAGTTGTACAAAATAATTTCTTGACCAGAGAACAAAGTTCCCTCTAATGAAATAGTCCCTGAATGTTTAGAAGTTGTTGGAGTAACAGCCCCTCCTTTACCTTGAATAAGAATATATATCAATTAGACAGGCAAAGAAATTAAAAAAGGGCTGGTTAACTATTACAAATGAAACACATAGAAACAGTTCCTAAAGAATCAGGGTTTATAGTACACAGAGAAACATTTTAGACAGAAAAGGATAGACAGCTAAGTTAGACATCACAAAGACCTTATAATAAATTGTCTATTACCTCTACTCAGTCTAGCGTATCCTTTTGCCCCATGACAAATTCTGAGAAATTTTAACATATAATAAGATATTCAAATTCTGTACATACAGCTACTTCTAATTGTCTGATTAATGGCTCTCCTGGTCAAAATAATCTTTGTTTATTATAACTGAATCTATGGGAACTTTCATATTTTTCCTGGTTACCTTCGTATTGATTTTTTCTGCTTAACTGATCATGCTATACTGCAAATGTTAATCACTACCTAAAATGAAAATATAAAAACCTGCTTGTACTTGCAATAAACGGAACAGAGTTTCGCTGTCCTTTGAGGTGTGAAGTCATCTGTTACCCATCGCCAACTCCTTACTCAACTTCGGGACCCCTGGACCTTGCTGCGGCTGGATTGTGGCACTAGGACAAAGTAGATGCTTTAAGTATTTCATTAAGGCAATTACCAAATAGCAGAGATGAACAATAATTTGCAGTTAGAGCTTCCAGTGGAGGCAGCTTGTTCCTCAGGCAAAACGCCCTTGCTTGTAATGTTACCAGTGAACATGGAAAAAGGAATGTACAACATGACCTGTTACAATAAACTATTGTATGGGTTATTAAACAAAATTATTTTAAAAGATACAGATATTGGATATGTACCATAGACTTGGTGCCAATAACAAATGGTACACTGATTCATGAGAAGGAATAAACTAAAATATAAGGCCAAGAAAGTTTTATGAAAAGTTAAACTAGGCTTTGAGGAAAGTAATTGAAATTAGATGAACTGAATGAAGAGAGTACTATTGAGAAAATATATTTCTCAAAACCAGTTGGGACCTAACATTTGTGAAGCCCAAGAAAGATTTAAATAGAAGCCCAGATGCAAGATCCCTAAATATTTAAGAGTTATAAATTAAGCTTACAAACTTTTAGAACACATTATCTATCCTTCTACTCTGATAAAGTGTAACAGAAATATTCAAAGTTTTAAATGTGACAGCAGTTTATCCCTCCTCTGTAGCCTCCTCTTGCATCATCTCGCCCTGCTACAGATTTCATACATGCACCTTAGAACACCAGTCTAAAAACCTAAGTTCAATCCACACTCTACCCCAATAAAGTCTACCTTTTGGTCATCTTTCAAGTCTGAGGGTTTACATACCAACTACACAGTCTGCCCTTCAGGGAATGAATTCATGGAGAGGCCACCAGGAGTGAAAACTCTGGGATACCAGCTAACCTTGGTCTAAAAAGAGGGTTCAGGCTTCAAAGGACATGTACTCTGGCCCATTACCTCATTGACCTGTGGACTAGTATTTGGCCAGAGGAAGGTTAGAGCAGGAAGCTCTCTAAAACTCAAGGCCTCTCCTGAACAATAAATGAATCAAATAATAAATTAAAGGGGAAATACAAACGTTTCTTGAAGCAAATGAAAATGGAAACACAATACACCAGAACTTGTTGGATGAAGCAAAAATAGTTTTAACAGCAAAGTTCATTACAAAAAAAAAAAAAACCACCTGTACTAAAATAAAGATCCCAATTAAACATCTAACTGTATACCTTAAGGAACTAGAAAAAGAAAAATAAACTAGTCTCAAAGTTAGCAGAAGGAAGAAAATGGAGAAAAACTAACAATATAAAAGATTAAATTGAGCACTGGCCAAGTAGCTCTGCTGGTTAGGGCATTGTCCAGATATGCCAAAATTGTAGGCTCAATCCCCAGTCAGGGCACATATAGGAGTCAACCAATGAATGCATAAATAAGTGGAACAACCAGTTGATATTCTCTCTTTCTCCCTTTTTGCTTCAAAATCAATAAATTAAAAAAAAAAACAGATTAACCAAACTAAGAGTTAGCACTTTAAAAGATTTTATTTATTTATTTTATTTTTTATAAAGGAGCCTGCTACATGTTACTTCACTTCCAGCCGCTTTCTTTTTTAATTTTTTATTTATTTACATTTAGAAGGGAAGGGAAGGAGAGAAATATCAATGTATGGTTGCTTCTCATGCATCCCCTGCTGGGAATTGGCCCCTGCTGGTAATTGGCCTACAACCCAGGCATGTGCCCAGACTGGGAATCTAACCACTATCATTTGGTTCGCAGGCCCATGCTCAATCCACTGAGCTACACCAGCCAGGGCTAGATTTTATCTATTTATTTTTAAGAGAGGGGAAAGGACAGAGAAAGAGAGGGACAGAAACATCAATGCCTGGTTGCCTCTCACATGCCCCACACCAGGACCTGGCCCACAACCCAGGCATGTGCTCCAAATGGAAATGGAACCAGTGACACTTTGGTTCAGAGGCCTGAGCTCAATCCATTGAGCTACATCAGCCAGGGCAAGAACTGGTGGATTGAAAAGATAAAATTGACAAATCCTCAGCTAGATTCACTCTGCTAAAATAAACAAATGAAATCAGAAATTATAGAAATGTCTTTACAACAGATGACATAAAGCTTTTTAAAAAAAATCATTAAGGACTATTATGAACAATTATAAGTCAATGAATTAGATAACCCAGAAGAAATGGATAAATTCTTAGAAATATATAACACACCAAAACTGAATCAAGAAGAAATAGAAAGCCTAAATAAACCAATAACAGGGAGATTAAATCTCATACATTTCCAGGACCAGATGGCATCACAAGTGATTTTCTAAAACATGAAATAAGAACTAATACCAACCTGTCTTAAACTCTTACAGAAAAAAAGAAGAAAGAGCACTTCCAAAGTCATTTGATCACATCAGCAAATGTTTACAAAAAAAAACATATATAATAATATTTATAGTAGCTTTATATTAGCAAAAACCTGGAAACAACCCCAAGTTCCAGCAATAGAATCAGTAATCAAATTGTAATATTTTTTACATGTACTTCTTAAAATTATTAATTTTTAATTTATTTCACTGTTACAAGTTTAAATATATGATAAAATTGATAAAATTGTAAATAGAATCCTCACATGCCCAGTATCCAGTTTTCTCCATGACCATTTTACACTGACAGGGGACATTTGTCATAATGAAAAAGCCAGTATAGTATTAATTTTGAAAGTTTCTGTTTATTAAGATCACCTTCATTTTTACCAAAGATTCTTTTTCTGTTGAGGATTCCATCCAGGATACCACATTATATTTAGTCTTTACAACTCCTTATGGTCCTCTCATTTGTGACAGTTTTTCAGTCTTTTCTTGTTTTTGTTGGCCTTATCAATATTAAGGTCTTAATATTTGTAGACTGCTCCTCTATTAGAATCAATCTGAACTTTTTCTCAAGATGAGATGGTAGTTACAGGTTTTGGGGAGAATCATTACACAGGAAAATGCCATTTAACACACCACATCAACATACATACTAGCAACACAATTTGTCATTATTGATATTAACCTTGATCACTTGGCTCAGGTCATGTTTGTCAGGTTTCTTCACTACAAAAGTACTGTTATCCCCATTTTTCCATACTTTACTCTTTGGAAGGAAGTTGCTATACATAGTTAGCACTTGAGGACTTATGCTTACTCTCTGTGAGGATGAGATAAATTCTGATATTTTTATATAATGAAATGCTCAGGAATAAAAAGGGAGAAAACACACTTGATATAAAAAGCAACATGATCAAAATTTTAAAATGTTCTGATGCATGTAAGAAGTCACATACAAAAGTGTACATATTATACAATCGATTTATATAAAATTTAAGGATAGACTAAAATAATCTATGGCTATTTATATCAAAACAATGATTGCTTCAGGGAGGAAGATTGACCAAAAAGGGGCACTAGGGAATTTTCTGAGGTGATAAAAACGTTTCATGTTTTGATTAAGATGCATTCATTTGTTAAAATCCATTTATCATCAACTTAAGCAGTTAACCTTATTTATGCAAATCATACATTAAACATTACATTTTTAAAAAGGATTTTGTATTTATTGTCAAAGAAATCATTAATAATCCTTGTGAAAGCAGTTTCAGTACAACAGCAGGTGCAGTTTCTTTGGATCTTAAATTCTGCAACAGTGGAATGGAGAAAGGGAAAGAACATGACTGCATGGAAGAAGATCACTGATTAAAGTTGAAACATTAGAAAACAGAGGAATAAAGAACTACAAAGAAGGACTTCCGCCAAGATGGAGGCATAGGTGGATATCCGTGCCTTCTCACACAACCAGGTTTAGAGACAACTAA